GTAGAAGAAGAGTAGACATACGACATGTTAGTTTGACAACAGATGCGACAGTTTAGTGTCATATCTGTCGATCTGATCTGTAGATTTTCTGGTATTTGGTTTATGCTACCAGCGATACAGTTGATATCAACAACAGGTAATGCTGAAAACAAGATAGGCAGTATTCAATCTGCTGTTTAAGCGAAGCTGAAACTTTGTTAAATTTGTGACTGTTTGTACAAAATTAGGTATTGTCAGATGCCGAAAAAAATCATCTAGTTTTGCTGATGCAAAAGTTTTTTTTGAGGATTTTATTAGTCCAATGAAAAAAAAAAAAAAAGATCAGAGGAATTTTAAGAGTTGATAGGTTAAGAATAATTTGTTGTCGTTAAGCTGATTGAGTGCTTCAAAGATGAGATGAATGACTATTGTTAACAGTAATAAGTAATTTGCTGAAAACGAAACACTGAAAGTATTTATATGTTTCATTTGTTTGTTATCCAAAAGTGATCAGCGATGTTTAAAAGTTAAAAAAGTACTTAGCTTGGCAACCTTAAGACAATAAATTTACAAACATTTTGCGTTAGAAAAAGAGCTGCTTTTGAGGAGTAACAGCTAAGCAAAAAAGCTGACGGAAGTTAAACTGCAAGAAGAAAAAAAAAAAACGATTTATTTTTGTTAAAATAAATGTTGGGTTTTTTTTTCTTCATATTCGTTTGTTATTATTATTGTTGTTGGTGGTGGTAGTGTCGCTATTTTAATTCCGTTTGGTATGTTATTTCAAAAATTTTGTTTTGTCAATCTTTGTTGCTTCGACAGAACTATCATTGTTTTATCATCAAAATATTCCTTTAAATGCTTCAAAATATCATCAAAACAAAAATTCTTTTTTTTTTTTTCTGTCTTCTGAATGACCTTTTTCTTCAAATATTTTTCCGGTCTTCAGCGTAATAAAAAAAAAGACGACGAAAAGCATCAGTGGAATACAAACAAAAAAAAGTTACATTTGATGATCATTTGATGTTGCAAAACTGTTGTTGTTGTTCCTTATTGGTGACGTCCCAAATTATGTCCAATGTTTTTCGACTGTCAGTGTTTTCTATTGCTTTAGCAGTAAACAAAAAAAAAAAAAAAAATCTGTTTTTTTTTTTTTTTTCCA